CCCACCCCTGCGCTGCTATGGAGGCACCACAGCCCCAAATCCCGCTTGGGGGGCCAGCCCGGTGCTGCCCATCCCCGAGACTCCCCCACCCTGCGCTCACCAGGCTGCCCAGCTCCTCCACGCTCACGGCGAAGAGCCTCTCGTTGAGCCCCAGTGCCGTGAACACCCCGACGGCGTCCAGCTGCAGCCCCACTTTATCTGCAGGAGAGAGGACGGTCAGTGCTGGGACGAAGAAGGGGCCAGATCCTGGCTGGGCACGGGGCAATTGCCGCCATGGCACGGTGGCAGCCCACAGGAGAGACCCCGAGGATGTGGCATCCCCGGGAGAGCCCGCTCACCTCCGGCTGAATTCACCTTCACCAGGACGTGCTCCCCGTCCCGGCCGAGCCGGGGGGCGAGGGACCGCAGGATGTCCCGCACCGAGGCATTGACGGGCAGCACCGTGATCAGGCACGAGTGGTCCGGTCTGTAGATCTCATAGGGCACTACGGTGGGGGGAAAAGGGCTTTAGTGTCCTGGCTGCCGGGGAGGGCACAGTCCCCACCATGCGTGGCCGTACCTTTGTCCTGGGCTCTTAAGGCACAGCTGCTGTTCAAAATCGCCTCCTCCTGGCTTGCGAGCCAGTTCACCGAGCTCCGAGCCTGCGGCCAAGGTGGGAGAGAGCGAGGAGGATGCCTCCCCACCCGCCACCCCTCCTGCTGACGGTCCCCAGAGGGCAGGGGTGACCCAGCTCTCCACCCCCCGCTGCCCTGGCACCCCCCAGGGCCACCCCTACCTTGGGCTGGGGAGAAACACTGCCGTCTCCGTTCTCCAGCCTGCAGAGAGAGGATAAAGGTGGTGTTAGAGCCCCACAGCCCACACCTTGCGCTGGAGACAGAACCGGGTCCTGCAGCTCCCAGGATCCAGGCCACCACCGAGCCCCCCGAACATCCCTGCCCCACAGGGCACCGGGGGATCTCGGCGGTGTTTGACACCCTCCCTGTGGCTTGGAAACCCCCACGCTGGGGACAAGGTGGCCTGAGAGCTGCTGGCATCCCCCCAGTCTTGACAATCATTGCTTTGCTGGCCGAAAGCTCAGCCCCATGAAAAGTGCAATCCCTCTGCGCACGAGGGGTGCAGGATCTGGGGACGTGAGCATCAGCAGTGGCATGGGGGGACAGAGCCAGGCTCCGTTTCAGACGGGGACACCCCTCCTTCCCCGGGGGACTCACGCTCGGGGCCGCCGGCGGTCCTGCGCTTGCTCCTGGACCAGCCCGCCCAGTCGGGGGTCCTGGCTCGCCAGGTCCGCGAGGTTCTGCGGGAGGAAGGTGCCTGGCGGTCAGCATGGGCATCCCCCCCCACCCCCCGCTCCCGGTACCTGCAGCAGAGCCGTGGTGCTGCGGTCGCCCTGCAGCAGCCGCCCGTAGAGCAGCACCCACTGGCTCACCAGCCGCAGGATCTTCCGGCGCTTGTGCAGGGAGTAGGTGGCCTTCTCCTGCTCCGAGCCCTCCAGCAGCTCCGCGCGGAAACTGGGACCAGTCAAGGGCACCAGCACGGGCGATGCAGGGCTGGGGAGCGGGCAGGGACCCCCGTACGTGTGCACCCAGGACAGGATGGGAGATGGGGATGTGCCCTGTGCCCAAGAGCCTGGGGGATTCGGGGCTCCCCTGGCCAACCCCTGAGGTTCCACCGGGGTGACAGGGACCAAGCTGAGCGTGCTGGTCCCTCGCAGGGGGGTGCATGGCGTAGGATGGAGACCGGTCCCCCCCCCAACTCCAACCGCAGAAGGATATTGGTGCAGCAGGGCTCTGCAGAGCTGCGAAGTCGGCATGAACACGGTGTAAGTCAGCAGGAAATCCCCCAGCAGGGTATCTGGAAGAGTCCAGGCCACCATCATTCACCCTTCACGGTGTCCGGCGGGTTGGGGACACGGTGATCACAGCCAGGCGGTGCAGCTGGCTGAGAAAGGGTCACCCGTGCCCTGCGTGGCGTTGGCCTGTGGTCTACCCCCACGGTGACCGTGCTCATTGCGCGCCACTTTTTGCTCCTAAACACCACGGAAAGGGCTGGCAAGGTTGGCAGCCTTTGGGGGATGAAAGAAAATTAAAGGGTTGCACTAAAAGTGCAGCACTCGGCGGAGAGTTAACTCCAAGGCAGCCGCTGATGACGTCAGCTCGGCAGCTCTGATTTTTTACCCACTGGGGACATCTCCTGGTTCCCGTCTCGCCCGGCTTTGCTCCTCTCCGAAGGCAGAGGGAGGTGGGACAGGAGGGAGGAGATGCTCCTGGCCCTGGATCTGCCTCCCTCTCCTGGCCTCAATGGGGGATTTTAGGGTGAGAGGAGCAGCTTTTGGGGTTGAACACCGGGAAGAAGGCAGCCCCGCTCAGTACTGGTCCTCCTGCTGGCACCCCGTCCCCAGCCTCCTGCCCATCTCGGGGTGGTTCTGGGACGTGGTCCCTGGACCAGGGGGGTGACTTCCCACCTACCCACAGGGTCGTAGAGCGTGGCGTCGAGCCTCATGAATTCCAGCAGATGCTCGAGGATCTTCTCCGGCGTTCCAGCCATCACCAAGTACCTGGTGGGCAGAGCACCGGGCACATCAGGGAAGGATGCGGCACCCCAGCTGTGGGCAGGACCACCACGCCGGGCCACTGGGCCACTCAACACAGCTGGTCAGCATGGCCTGGCATCCCTGTTACCCCTCCGGGGACACGGTCGTCCCAGCAGACTCCTCCAAGGGCAGCCAGAGAGCAGCAGAGAAGGCAGGGGGACAGGCAGCATTGGCTGGCAGCGCTGCCGGCACGGCTGCAAGGAGGGATGGGGACAGGCTGCTGTCACCTGGTGCTCCGCGCTGTGGCTGGCTGGCTGCTGCCACCCTGCAGGTTCTTCTGCAGGACGAGCACCACCTTCCCGTGCTCCTTCAGGCGCATGGTGTTGGCCTCCACGTCCTAGGGAGAGAAACCAGCCGTCAGCCCAGCTCGGATCCTGGCTGGCTGGTTGCACCCCAAACCCCCATACTGGCATGCAGAGAAGTGTCCTCTCCTGCAAACACCATGGAAGGTGCACGGTGGCACCCGGCTCAGACCCAGCACCCCGCGAGCCCCCTGCCCACCTTGAGGATGTGGTTGAAGTCCTGCTTGTCCACGCGGAGGAAGTGGCAGTTGTCCTCCCGCAGGATGATGGTGGCCGCGCGGGGCGCGTCGTTCACCAGCGCCAGCTGCCCAAAGTCGTCCCCCTCGTGCAGGGTGGCCACCAAGCCCTGGGGGGGGGGAGGGAGGGGGGAGCACAGAGGGTGAGGGATGGGGTGGGAGCCCTCGTCCCCGCCGGGGGCCAGTGATGTGGGGTGTCTGGAGAGACCTGCTGCCACAGGGACACACCTACCTTGCCGTGGGTGACCACGTTCACCGAGCCCTTCCAGACGATGTACCACGACGTGCCTTTATCTCCTTGGCTGAACACTGCAGGGGAAACGGCGGCATCCAGCAGCCGAAGAGGGGGAGCCCCCAAGCACCCCTCTTCAGTCCCCCCCCATCCCAAGCCCCCATCCCAGGTGAACGCAGCGAGTGCTCTGGTCCCCTCCATCCCTGGTTCACGAAGACACAGCAGGAGCAACCACTTTGATGACAACAGCTCCAGCCGTCCTCCCCGGGCTGGGGACCCTTTCCTGGGGGACCGGCCAGCCCTGCACGGCTCCTGGGGCACACGATACTCACGCACGGTGCCCGCTCTCTGGTGCGACTCGAACATCAGCACGGACGCCAGCTCCCGCTTCACCTGCGGTAAGAGGCACCTTGCCATTAGGGTCACCCCAGCCCGGAGCTGAGCGAGGAGGGGACACACATGGGCAGGTGGGATGGGGTGGGAAGCGGGTCCAGGTCTCGGAGAGGGCCAGGAGAGGATGCCCAGATGGGAAGCGATGGGATGCAGGAGGATTTGGGGGCCAGAAGCAGTTTGGGAGGGACACACAGGCCGCGGGGGAAGCAGGGCACAGCCGCACTCACCGAGTTGGAGAGATGAGCCACGGCTTTGATGTGCAGGAGCTCCTCAAATATGAGCTCCAGCTCGTCCTCTGTGCGCTGGGCAGGCCTGGGAGGGGAAAGGGGGGTGAACGGCCATCTGTTCCCTCTCTCCCCACCACGTCCCGAGGTACAGACACCCCTCTCCAGTCACAACCCCCTGGCCAGGCACCCTCTTTCTCTCCCCGGTCTGACAGCCATGGAAGAGATGCTTGGGTCGCCCCATCCACAGCAGCCCCTTTGGTACTCCAGACTCCCATGGAGCAGGGTAGAAATGAGCCCCACGTCCCCCCCCAGCCCCTGGGGAGCACCCGGCCACTCACGGCTTGCGCAGGGCCATGGTGAGCAGCGCGTCGGGACCCAGCTGGGCCAGGAAGCCCAATGCCTCCAGCAGCTCCTCCGCATCCCGGAGCCCGGTGCTGGGCTCCGGGCTCAGCTCCAGCTCGGCAAAGCGGTAAAACTGGGTGTCCTTGTCCTGGAAATGCCACTCCTGCTTCACTGCGGGGGGGAGAGCGCGCGTGAGCTCGGCCGTGTACCCATGGGAGACCCATGGGGTGCCACGTGCACCCATGGGAGACCCCAGCAGCCCCCAGTGCACCCAGTCTCGCCTTGCAAGACCCTGCTGCTGCGCAGGGGGCTGCCAGCGCCCGCCCTCACCGTGTGTCAGGACGCCTCCGTCCACCAGCACCTGGCAGACGCCAATGGCCTGGCTGCGCGTCTGGACGGCAAGCCCGGCGCTCAGCAGCCAGTCCACCAGCTCCTTCCCGGAGCAGCACTGCCTGCAAGGGGAGAGGGCGTGAGAAACGCCCCCCGAAACGGGGCTGCGGTGCCCGGCACCCCAGGTGAGCCCTTGCCTGGGACGGGCAGCAGAAGTCCTGCCCTCCTCGGAGGGCTGCCGGGGTCCTCAGCAGCCCGCGGTGCCCCCCGGCATGGCAGGGGTGCCGGCCGTCCCACCTGTGGTGACGCAGGTGATGCTTGTGGTCCCGGATGAGGCCAGGACGGGTGCTGGTGAGGTGGATGAAGAGGAGCTTCCCAGCTCGCCAGATCTTCTCCGAGGATGCCTGGGGGGGGTGGAAGGAGATTTTACAGCTTGCAGGGGAAGTGGGGAGGGCACGGGCAGCGAGGCACGGACCCTGACTGCGCTGACACCTCGCACGGTCGATCGTGCCCCCAACACCCTGCCTAAGGTGCGACACACTTACACGCCCACCCCAGCACCCCAGGATCTCCATCACCTGCCCCCAGGAAAAGATGAGCCCAAGGACCGAGCATCCCAAAGCCGAGCCGAGGACCCCACGATGTGCGGGTGGTCTGGCCCCCCACCCCTCACAGCCTTCAACACACGTTTCTCCATCTCCCACCTCCCCAAACTCATGTCCTCGTGGGTTTTCCCAGCCCACCCACCTGGGTAAGGCTGTGTCCATAGTCCAGGGTGGATTCAGTGTCCAAAAGTGGGGTCTGGAAAACCGAAAAGAAGGGAGTTGGTGGCCACGGGGGCTCTGCCGTGCCCCCCCTCACCCTGCACACCCCAGGGGGGCTCCCGCCTCCCCCAAGGCACAGTTCAGCTTCATCCGCTCTGCACCAGGCAAGGAGGCAAGCATCCCTGGATGCTCACCAGCACCGATCTCCTAAAACCAAGGCAAAGCCTTTACTCTGCCCCATCCTTGCTGAAAACAGACGTGTAGCGGGGACCTAACCCCCCGACGCCCCCCCGCGGTTATGTTTAACTTCAGAAAGGGAAGTGCATTCAAATGAGGGAGCTGGGAGATAAAAGAAGGAAGCTAAAAGTAAAATCCTTGCAAACAGGGATCAAAGACATCGTATTTGAGACATGGAGCTTGCCGCTGGAAGAGAAGGACTTCAGAAAGACCTGGGGAAGCTGGCACAGCCTCAGGGGAGGGAGAGGTGTCCAAAGCCGGGGGTTTTCCTCCAGCTTTGAAGCCGGGTACAAACAAAGAGGATGGAAAAGATCCCAACTCCGGCGGGTTACGGGAACGGCCCAAGCAAAGCCTTGGAGAGCTGGAGGATCAGCTTGCGGAGGACACCAAGGACTGGGCTCATGGCCAGCCTGTCCCACGGCAGATGATGGGGAGCAAGAGCTCTCACGGAGGATCAGGGTAGCAGAGAGCCCTGAGGAGTGCGTGCCCGAACCTTTCCCTGCAGACACCGTGTCGGGGGATTGGTCTCAAATCACAGCACGGCCAGAAAAACTTATGCAATAAATCCTGAAAAATCAGCTGTAACGAACCGCCGGGACGTGGCGGTCCCCAGTGCTGAGAGGAGCTCGGCAGCGAAACAGCCGAATTGCTACGGGTGATGTGTAACCTCGCGCTTCCCTTGGTGCCAAGGAGCTGGTGAATATGAAGCAGTTTTTCCAAAGGATTTTAAGGGAGGTCCTGGAAACGATGGACCAGCGAGGCAGAAAGTCACCGAGCATGTGCTGGGTATGGGGAAACAGCGCAGCGGGTAAAATTCAACACAGACATGCCTAAAATAAGGCATATTAGAAGAACGCAAGCCCAATTTTCCCTCGCTTGCGGTCAGAGGATCTGAGCTCAAGCAGGAGCCCATGGCGGTGACCGAAAATGTGAACTCAGGCCTCGACGGCTGTAAAAAAATGCAAATCGTGGGACGGGTGTCAGTAGGAAGAGAGCAAAATAGGAAATCTCACTGATCCATCCCGGTTCACCGGCAAGTCAGTGCTCCCTTAGCCTAAAGGAGAAAAACGCGCCCTTTGGGGATGGAAAACCCCAGTCACCCACTGAGTTTTTTGCTCTATTTAACTTAAATCTGCACATGATGAGTTGATCCAATGCTGTTTTCTAAACCGGTTTCTCTTTAGTATCTCTGCCATTTACTGATCCTAAAATAGCCCGGGGATCCTAAAATGGCTCGGGGAGTCCCTCCTGGAGCGATCTGTCATCACACCGTCGGGAATAGCTGGGGACCGTCTCCGGTCTGAGCCGTGGCCCCGCAGCGGGTCCCTGCTGTCTGGGATGGACCGGCTGCCGACCGCCACGGCACAACCCCGGGGTCGGGTTCAGCTCCGCCGGGAGCGATGCCAATCCCTGCCAGGCCACGCTTGAGTCCTCAGCTTCTCCATGACCACTCATCCCTCTGGATATCCCCCATCAGCAGGTGCTTTTTAATCCTTGCGCTTATTTTTCTCCCAGTTTTTTCCCCTCGGGGAGGGGATGCTCCAGGTAAAAGCAGAGCAACGAAGGGATGAGCCGGTGCCCACCCCAGCTGCCGCCCTAATCCCGGTGCAAAGGCGGCCGCGCTTTCATCCAGGCGCTGCCCAGAGGGACGAGGGCTCCCACGTGGCCACGGCCCTGGATAAACAACCTTTCATCCCGGCTGCGTGTGCTGCACAAACCACGGGCTGGGGGAAGCCGAGAGCACCCGTCAGACCTGTTCTCCACCCGCTGCCCCGCCGAGGCAGCTAATGCACTTTGAGCATTAACCCCGAGACAGGGTGAGAGCCATCCTTCCTTGGGGTGTCTTCACCTCGAGGGGAAGGTTTTGTGGTCCCCCCCCTGTTTATTTCTGGCTGGTAAGGGGTCTGCAGCGCTCCGGGCTGGTGGCGGAGGTGGTGGGCACTTGAAACACGGCGTCATCTGGGCCAGATCCTCCTCGGATCTGCTGGCTCTGGGCTGGTTGGGAAGGTCTGAGCAACCACAGCAAGAGGGACGGCTGGATGAAAGCCTCAATTAAGGAAGCCAAGGGCAGGAGTAATTAACTGCAGAAACCTTCTCTGCAAATGAATTCAAGGACAAAACAACCTACCAGGAGCTGAGGGGAAACCAAAGAGCCCTGGCACCTCCTGGCCCAGGCAGCAGGGTGATGGAGGTGGACACCCACTGACGGGTGCTCGGATGGGTGCTCTGCCCTGTGCTGCCTGCTTGCCTGTCCCAAACCCTGCCTGCTCACCCCCTGCCAGGCTCAGGCTGCTCCCTCATTTCCTCCGGCCCTTTCCATACCCCCGGGGCTTCCCCATCCTCCTCCGGACAGCCTGGACAACTCGAGCCACCAACATGCCCCCAGCAGTTTGCAACTGGTTTAGGAGAGATTCGGGGAGTGGACGGAAGACAAGCAGCTCCGTGAACGCAGCAGGTCCCTGGGGATGCTCCTGATGCGGCCACGCTGCCGCTGAGGCTGGGACATCGTGACTTACTCTGCAAACTTTCCCGAGCCTCGTGACCGCCCTGTGGAACAGGAAACGCGCCGGCAATTGCAGTGCAAATGTTTGCAAATAGGAGCTGGGCTGCTGCCGCAGCATGGAGCTACCTCCCGTGGGACCCGGCGGTCGATGTCACCCCCTCGGGTGCAAGCGAAAGCTGCTCCGGTCCCCAAACAGCCTTTGCCGTCAACCCGTAAGCGAGGTCTGTCCTTGAGGCAGGGAGCCAGGACGTGCCACGGTCCTACTCCAAGCTGCGCTCACAAGGACACCGAAGGAGACTGAGAAAAACCCTGCCCAAGGATGAGTGCTCGGAGCGATTTCTCCCTCCTGGGGTTTTCTCGTTGCCAAACCAGCTCTGAAACACATGCAAAATCTCACGGCTGGCCCCAAAAAACCCCTCCCGAAGCATCCTTGCTCCCCAACTCCCGGGTCTGGACCCACAGGATGCCCTCCCCACCCTCACACCCTGCCTAATTGTCACAGCATCGCGGCCGCCGTCTCCAAACAGCTTCCTAAGGAGTTGCCTCTTTCCACCTTCCTGCTTACGGGACACACGGGTGCTGAGATCCTGCCTGTCTCCAGAAATCCGGCAGCAGCGGGCAGCTGGCCAAGGCCGGCAGTGACCGTTCCGTGCTCGCGCACTGCTTTTGTTTGCGATCCCGAGGAAAACAACAGGAGTTATTTCAGGCTTTACGGCTCCGGAGAAAGTCCTCGCCCATCCGCAGCCTCAAAAGGCACGGCAGCCAGCCAGGGGCTTGCCGTCCCAGCTGGGAGCCTTGTCAGGGAGGGGGTCTCGGGGGACCCACTCTGTCCCCTCCGTCCTCTCCAGGGATGTGGCGAGAGCCAGCACGATGGCACTTGTACTCTGGGAAGGGTGAAGGACAGAGCTGCTTGGGGATGCCGGACTGCGATGTCCCGCTGATGACAGGGAACGGGAGCCTGGGCTGGAGCCTCGCAACAAGGAGCAGAGCTGGAAGGGATTTGCCGGCACCGGGATCAGGCAAACAGGTCCCCAGGAGGGATGAGATGGAGCCACAATGCAAGGAGGAGTTTCCAGGAGCCGTAGGCATGCAGCGATGGGGACAAGGGACAATATTGCTGCTCCAAGGCACAGCCAGATGGTTCCCTGCCATCCGCCTCTCCCGTACCTGCCCCGAGGAATGGGTGCACCGGGAGAGCCCTCCTACCTGCAAAAAGTGGGGAAAACACCCCCTTTCCCTGCAAAGATCAGATCCACTCCCCTCAAACGGCTGGCGGTTGTCCCCATGCATGGCGGTGCCACTCGGGGAGGGGACGCTCCTGCCACACTGCATGTGCCACTGCACTGCCAGATTTTGTCAGATCTATCCTAGTCCAGCAGTTTAGCACAGCAACGCTCCAGCCTGCTGCTTTCCCGACCTCCCTGGCTTTTTGCCACTCAAAAAACCTCCCCATAATTAAGTTCCTAAAAGTTCTGGGGAGAAAAAATCAGGAAGAAAGGGAAAAAAAGAGAGGGAAGTTTTCTTATTTGTGAAGGAGCTTGCACGCTGCATAGAAATGCTGAAAGGGGGGTTGTTCCCTTAAAGTAATTTCGCTTTTTTCCTTAAAAACGTTTGTCTCGGGTCAGGCAGTGTGGGAAGGGGAAGGTCACGAGGCTCAGCCGGGGCAGGTGAACAGGCTCCAGGGTCACCTCCCAGCCCGAAGGGGACAGACAGGGAGGAGATTCCAGCCCGAAGGGGACAGACAGGGAGGAGACCGAGAGCAGAGACCGGGTGCCTTTTGCATCCCGGGGACCCCCAGGAGACCCCCAGCAGCTCCTGTCCAGGGGACAGCACGGACCCGGGGAGGGAGGCCGTGATGTTGAGCATCGTCCTGCTGCCAAGCAACAGGTTTCTCCTGTAGAAACGGCCTGACCTGGCGGGGAGGGAACGTTTTGAACCCCGTGTGCCGCAGGGCCACGGGGATGGTCTTTCCTGTTCACACGCTCGGGGTTGGGGTGCGCTGCCCTGCCGCCGTGTGCCGGAGCACAATAGCACCGGGCTCATTTCATGCCCGGCTGCCAGCTCCGCCTGGAGAAGGGGTTAGGGCAGGCGGCTGCAGAAATACGCTCCCTGCACGCCTCGCCTCGCTCCCTGCACGCCTCGCCTCGCAGCCAGCAAACACGAGGGGGGAGCAGGGCGCGGGTCACAGATCACAGCCCGCTGCCAGGCCGGCTGGGAGGGCAGGGAAGGGCCAGACCTGCCCTGCAACAGCCGCGCTCAGGAAGCGGGGCTGGAGGCGGCGATAAGCCCCGGGGGACGCCGCTTGGCTCCTGCAGCGGCTCCACCGAACCCCGTCCCCCGAAACCCTGTGGCCGGCCAAGTGCAGACCCCCGCTGCAAGGAGGGGTGCTGAGAGGGGCGGCGGGGAAAGGCGGCAGCGAAGGGGGCTCCTCGGCTTGCG